AATCAACCAATAAAAACAAAAGAGAATTCAACCAAACCAGAAGAGAATCCAACATAAACCAAAGCCGAATCTCAACCAAAAGAACCAAACAACGAAAGAACCAACCAAAACCAAAGAGAATCATACCCAAAACCACAAAGGAACAACCAAAACAAACGAATCAACCAAAGCGAATAACCAAAACAAGCGAAATCTCAACCAAAACAAAGACCAAAGAGAATCAACCAAAACCAAAAACCAAAGCGAATCAACCAAAACCAAAAGAGAATCAACCAAACCAAAGCGAATCAACCAAAACCAAAGACCAATCAACAAACCAAAGCGAATATCAACCAAAACCCCAAAGGAATCAACCAAAAACCAAAGAGAATCAACCAAAACCAAAGAAGAATCAACCCAAAACCAAGAGAATCAACCAAAACCCAAACGAGCAATAAGAGAATCAACCAAAACCAAAGCGAATCAACCAACCAAAGAGAATTCAACCAAAACCAAAGCGAAATCAACCAAAACCAAAGCGAATCAACCAAAACCAAAGAGAATCAACCAAAACCAAAGAAATCAACCAAAACCAAAGAGAATCAACACCAAAACCAAAGAATCAACCAAACGAACCGGCAACATCAACCAAAAACCAAAAAGAGAATCAACCAAAACCAAGAGAAATCAAACAACCAAAAAACCAAAGCGAATCAACCAAAACAAAGCGAAACCAAACCAACAGCGAATCAACCAAAACCAAGAGAATCAACCAAAACCAAAGCGAATCAACCAAAACCAAAGAGAAAAGAAAACCAAGAATCAACCAAACACCAAAGCGAATCAACCAAAACCAAAGCGAATCAACCAAACCAAAGAGAATCAACCAACGCCAAAACCAAAGCGAATCAACCAAAACCAAAGCGAATCAACCAAAACCAAAGCGATCAACAAAACCAAAGAGAATAAACGCCAAAACAAAGAGAATCAAACCAAAACCAAAGCGAATCAACCAAAACCAAGAGAATCAACCAAAACCACAAAGAGAATCAACCAAAACCAAAAGGAGAATCAACCAAAACCAAAGAGAATCAACCAAAACCAAGAGAATCAACCAAAAACAAAAGAGAATCAACCAAAACCAAAGCGAATCAACCAAACCAAAGAGAATCAAAAATCAACCAAAAGCGAATCAAACCAAAACCAAGCGAATCAACCAAAACCAAAGAGAATCAACCAAAACCAAAGAGAATCAACCAAAACCAAAGCGAATCAACCATCAACCAAAAGAGAATCAAAGAGCGAATCAACCAACCAAAAACCAAAGCGCCAAAGAACCAAACAATTCCAAAACCAAAGAGAATCAACCAAAACCAAAGAGAATCAACCAAAACCAAAGAGAATCAACCAACCAAGAATCAACCAAAACCAAAGAGAATCAACCAAAACCAAAGCGAATCAACCAAAACCAAAGCGATCACACCAAAAACCAAAGAGAATCAACCAAAAACCAAAGCGAATCAACCAAACCAAAGAGAATCAACAAAACCAAGAAATCAACCAAAACAAAGAGAAATCAACAAAACCAAAGCAAAGAGAATCAACCAAAACCAAAAGAGAGAATCAACCAAAACCCAAAGAAATCAACCAAACCAAAGGGATCAACCAAAACCACAAGAATCAAGAAAACCCAACAAAGAGAATCAACCAAAACCAAAGCGAATCAACCAAAACCAAAGCGAATCAACCAAAACCAAGAGAATCAACCAAAACCAAAAGAGAATCAACCAAAAAAAAAACCAAAGCGAATCAACCAAAACCAAAGCGAAACCAAAACAAAGAATCAACCAAAACCAAAGAGAATCAACCAAAACCAAAGAGAATCAACCAAAACCAAAGCGAATCAACCAACCCCCAAAACCAAAGAGAATCAACCAAAACCAAGCGAATCAACCAAAACCAAAGATAAATCAACCAACAAAGAGAATCAACGAAACCAAAGAAATCAACATAAACCAAAGAGAATCAACGAAAACCAAAAAAAAATCAACATAAACCAAAGAGAATCAACGAAAACCAAAAGAAATCAACGAAAACCTAAAAAAAACTCACGTGGTTTTGACGCCGTTGTCGCAGCTGTAGAAAATCATGCAGTTGCGGTAGTAGTCGGCAAAGAAGCCATTTTCCACGCATTGGAACTTGGGCGGCTGACCTTGTCCCATTCCGTTGGCTGCGACACAGGCGACCAGGGCTAGAGAACATGGGAAATATGTAATGTTTGTATTTTCTTCTTTTCTTTTTCATTTCAAAGGGGAAATTTTTTATTATGTTGGTTTAGAAGGTTCGATTGTAAGGGAATTATGTCTGAATGTTAGTGAATGATTTAGTTCGCGAAAGAAAGTAAGGAAAAAGAAGGGGATTGACCGTGTCCGAATCCGCTGTCTCAGACGTAAAATGGCTATGGCTAGAGACAAAATGAAAATATTATGTTTTCGCAGCTATTTAGGCTGTTCCGAGAGGGAACTATGTCAAAAATATGTAAAAAAAATGTCCAACATTTACAAAAGGAAAGGCGTTGGGAAAAAATATACATATTTTTGTGTTTGAATGCAAGGGAATTACATCTGAACGTCTTTGCTTTAAGAAGTGAAAAATATAATAATGTTCGTGACTTTGGCTTAGAAACCAACCCTTACGCCTGGAAAAAAGGAAATATTGATTATAATATTTCTAAAGTTTGTTTTTTATTAAAAAATAGACTGTTTTACTAAGATGGAGAGAAAAATAAAAAGTTAAGAAGAAAAGGAAAAGAAAGTTATTCCTTTGCCATGAAATAAACAATCACGGTTTGCCAGTAAAGAAATTATCAATAATTAAAATGCATATATCATAAAAAATGGACTAATTACAAATATAAATGAACAATGAATAAAAAATTCCTATCCTATAAACCGGGCTAAGACTGACTCAGGATCTGTAGAAAAACATTAATGTTGAAACGAAGTTTAGGTTAAATGTTGATAGGAAATTTTTCTTTAAATTTAACCCCAGAGGAACTAAAGAAACGATTTTTAAAAATAGCTTAAGACAAAGATTTGTCTTTAGACTGAAAAAAGAAAATCAATATGTTAATGTTTTAGGAATATATTTAAGAGAAATTGGTTATATTGATTTTTCGTGGAATATCTGAATGTCCTCTGAATCTATAGTATAAAAAGGGGGAATTAAAGTATTTCTTTTCGAATTTTAAAAGTTAAACAAGAGTAAATACATTTTCAGCTGTAGAATTTATTAGAAAATTATTTGATACGACTGATTGTTTCAAGAATACGATTAAATCAATTTATGATTGAATACTTTTTCTCACAATACAAAAAAGAAAAAGAAAGGCTTTAACAATTATCTGGTTTAAAGGATAGTTTTAAGGGGGAAATGAGTTTTCAGAATAGTTAGAAAATAAATTGAAAGTTAAGGCAAAAAAAAAAAAATTTAATTCGATTATGAAAATTAATTATGAAAATTAACCTGCGTCCAGGAATGTGAGCAACAAATCAATCTATTAATAGTATCTAAGATTGATGCACTATATATATATATGTATATATATATATAACATACATACGTATATATATATATATATATAAATATATATTACATATATATATTATGTGTGTGTGTGTGTGTGCTCTTGTGTGGTGTGGTGGGGATAGATATATAGATAGATATGTATTATGTTATAGTATATATTTTAATTATATCTATAGTTGTATACGTAACGATGATGAAAATTTAAAATAAAGATAATGATAGTGATAATGACGGTTATCGTGATAACGATCATCATCACCACCATCATCACCTCATCACTATAACACTAACAATTAGATTAATAACACAACAACGAATACAAAACCGCCCTTTGAGCCTCACCAGCCAAAATAAGACCAACAGCGACACGAGCCATATTGTAGTCCTACTTTCCTCTCAAACACGAATCCGAAAGTCACCGACAGGCAGAGAAAACGGACCGAATGGAACTCCGCCGCTCGCTGCGTCCTATATGAAGACCGGGTTATCTTCGTCTCAATCCGTGGAAAGGTTCACATACAATGGATAAGGGGGTTCTTATCGTATTTTTTCGTCACGTGGGTCGTTTCCGTTGGTGATTAGGTGCGATGTGGATTGGGATTGTACGGCGGTGGGTTCGGTTGGTGGATTATGGGGATTATTCTTTGGTTTATTGTGTTCGACGCAGATGATTGGAAAAGTTGACTTGGTCTTTGTTATATATGTTTGTGTGTGTGTGTGTGTTGATTATATATATACACATATATATGCATGTATGTATGTTATACATACACATAACACCACACACATATACACACACACACATACACACAAACACATACATAATACACTTATATATGTGTGTCCATACGTGTGTGTTGTTGTGTGTGTGTATTCATTATTTTTTTATGTTCGTTTGTGTGTGGTGATTTTTATATATATGTTATGTGTATTATTTATATTATATTACTAAATTTATGTATAAATAAATATTTTATTATTCATAATAATAATAATTTTAATATATATATATATATATTTAATATATATATATATATATAATGATTTGATTAATAATTAACATATTTAACAGTACATTACTGTGAAAAATAATATGTAGGTTTTCCCAAAACCTTAATCAGCCCCATCTGATAACAGAACACTGACATCATTTAGGACTGTATTTAATTAATTTGATTAGATAAAAAAGGGGATTTAGGATTCAGATAACGATTTTACATGCATTCTTTTCAACAGTGTGTGTGTTGTGTGTCTTTTGTGTTGTTGTTGTCTTGTGTGTCAAGTGTGTGTGTGTGGTGTGTGTGTGGTGTGTGTGTGTGTGTGTGTGTGTGTCGTGGCTGCGTTGTGTGTGTGTGTGTGAATTGTGGCTTTCGTGCATTCATATATATATAAAGCGAGAAATAGATATAAATAGATATAGATATATGATATATATATATTTATTCATCTATGTTCATATTCACTGTATTAGTTCATGTTATATATCCATCCCTCAGAATTACGTAATAACATAATGTCAGTAATATCTTTTCGAATATATTCTCAGATAGAGATTATATAAATAGATACATTTATGTATGTTGTGGATTTATAAATGCTCATATTGTCAAGACAGACAGACAGAGCAAACCAGACGTCAAGAACAGACAGACAGACAGACAGACAGACGTGAAGACAGACAGACAGACAGACAGACAGACAAACAGACGTGAAGAACAGACAGACAGACACAGACACAGACAGACGTGAAGAACAGACAACAGACGTGAAAAGAACAGACAAACAGACGTGAAGAACAGACAGACAAACAGAACAACAGACAGACAGACAGGCAGACGTGAAGAACAGACAGAACAGACAGACAGACAAAGACGTGCAGACAGAAGAACAGAACAAGACAGAACAAGACAGACAGAACAGACAGAACGTGCAGAACAGACAGACCAGAGGCAGAGACGTGAAGAACGACAGACAGACAGACTTGAAGAACAGACAGACAACAGACGTGAAGAACAGACCAGACAGACAGACGTGAAGAACAGACAGACAAACAGACGTGAAGAACAGCAGAGACAGACGTGACAGAACAGACGTGAAGAACAGACAGGACAGACAGAACGTGGAAGACAGACAGACGTGAAGAAACAACAGGGACGCAGAAAGAACAGACAGACAGACAGACGTGAAGACAGACAGACGTGAAAACAACAGACAGACGTGAAGAACAGACAGAAAACAAAACAGACAGACAGTGGAAGAACAGACAGACAAACAGACGTGAAGAACAGGACAGTACAAACAGACGTTGAAGAACAGACAAGACAGACAGACGTGAACAACAGACAGACAGACAGACGTGAAGACAGAACCAGACAGACAAACAGACGTGAAGAACAGACAGGACAGACAGAACGTGAAGAACCAGACAGACAAACAGACGTGTGAAGAACAGACAGACAGACAGACGTGAAGAACAGACAGACAGACAGACAGACAGACAACAGACGTGAAGAAACAGAAAGACAAACAGACGTGAAGAACAGACAGAACAAACAGACGTGAAAGAACAGAACAGATCAAACAGACGTGAATGAGACAGACAGACAAAACAGGACGTGAAACAGACAGACAGACAGACCGTTGAAGAACAGACAGACAAACAGACGTGAAGAGACAGACAGACAGACAGACGCTGAAGAACAGACAACAAACAGACGTGAAGAACAGACAGACAGACAGACAGAACAGACAGAAACAAACAGAGTGAAGAAACAGACAGACAAACAGACGTGAAGAAACAGACAGACAACAGACGTGAAAGAACAGACAGACAAAACAGACGTGAAGAACAGACAGACAAACAGGACGTAGAACACAGACAAACAGACGTGAAGAACAAGACAGGACAGACAGACCGTGAAGAACAGACAGACAAACAGACGTGGAAGAACAGACAGAACAGACAGACGTGACAGACAGACACAGACAACAAACAGACGTGAAGAACAGACAGACAAACAGACGTGAAGAACAGACAGACAAAACAGACGTGAAGAACAGGAACAGACAAAACAGACGTGAAGAACAGACAGACAAAACAGACGTGAAGAACAGACTAGACAAACAGAACGTGAAGAACAGACAGACAGACAGACAAGAACACGACACAGAAACAGAACAGACAGACAAACAGACGTGAAGAAAAGCAGACAGACAGACGTGAAGAACAGACAGACAAACAGACGTGAAGAACAGACAGCAGACAGACGTGGAAACAACAGGACAGACAAACTAGGAGTGAAGAAAGACAACAGACGAGGGGGGACGACTAGACAGAGAAAAAGTAGTAGAACGGACGAGCAGACACCAACGGACGTTACGGAACTTAAAAGAACAGACAGACAAAACAGACGTGAAGAACAGACAGAACAAACAGACGTGAAGAACAGACAGACAGACAGGCAGACGTGAATAACAGACAGACAGATAGACGTGAAGATCAGACAGACAGACAGACAAAACAGACGTGAAGAACAGACAGACAGACAGACGGAAAGAACAGACAGACAAACAGACGTGAAGAACAGACAGACAAAACAGAACCAGAGAACAGACAGACAAACAGACGTGAAGAACAGACAGACAGACAGGCAGACGTGAATAACAGACAGACAGATAGACGTAGAAGATCAGACAGACAGACAGACAAACAGACGTGAAGAACAGACAGACAAACAGACGTGAAGAACAGACAGACAAACAGACGTGAAGAACAAGACAGACAAACAGACGTGAAGAACAGACAGACAGACACAGACGTGAATAACAGACAGGACAGACGGAAGATCAGACAGACAGACAGACAAACAGACGTAACAGACAGACAAAACAGACGTGAAGAACAGACCAGACAGACAAGACGTGAAGAACAGACAGACAAACAGACGTGACAAACAGACAGACAACAGACAGACGTGAAGAAACAGACAGACAGACAGACGTGAAGAACAGACAGACAAACAACGTGAAGACAGACAGACAGACAGACGTGAAGAAGACAGACAGACAAACAACAGAACAGTTGAAGAACAGACATGACAGACAAGAGACAGACAACAAGACAGACAGGACAGAACAGACGTGAATAACAGACAGACAGATAGACGTGAAGATCCAGACAGACAGACAGACAAACAGACGTGAAGAACAGACAGACAGACAGACGTGAAGAACAGACAGACAAACAGACGTGAAAGACAGACAGACAGACAGACGTGAAGAACAGACAGACAAACAGACGTGAAGAACAGACAGACAGACAGACAAGACAGACAGACAGAACAGACACAACAGACGTGAAGAACAGACAGACAGACAAACAGACGTGAAGAAACAGACAGACAGACAAGAGAACAGACAGACAGACAGAAGACGTGAAGATCAGACAGACAGACAGACAAACAGACGTGAAGAAACAGACAGACAAACAGACGTGAAGAACAGACAGACAGACAGACGTGAAGACAGACAGACATTTAGAGACAAAAGCGGGACGGCGCGCAATCGAGAGGCGTCAGAAAGCCAAATTTAATCTTGCCTGTATACTATAATGCGTCACAGTCGTCCTCTCTAATTGGTTTTGTGACGTCAGGCCTCCCCCCACCCCCCCATACCTTTCTCTCTCCCCCCCCCTCTCACCCCTACCCCTCTCTGCTCCCCTCCTCCTCATTCTCCCTTCTACACATCCCTCTCTACCTCCCCCCCCTTCCCTTTCTCTTGGTCCCCTCTCCTCCCCATCCCATTCCTCTCCCTTTTCTCTCCCCTCTCCCTCTACCCCTATCCCTATCCCCCTTCTTCCTCCCTCCCCCCCAATATGCCTCCCCCTCCCTCCCTCCCTCTTCGACTCCTTATATTGCTTTCCTCTCCGTCATGACGTCATGACTTCGAGAGAAACTTGGTTCGTTGTTACAGAGCTCTGACGTCATCACGCTACAAACTTTGTGCGCGTCCCCCCAAGATCCAAGATCGTTATTGTTATTAATGTCCTTTCTGTGTGTAGAAATTTCTCATGAACAGGAATATTTTCCTATATATGTCAATGGACTGACTTTATTATTATAACAAGAGTAAAATAAAATATTAATCTAATAATGAAATTTTTCGCTTGCAGTTTTAATATATACTTTTCCTGATGACTTACCGTCGGCCATGATGCACACGATTGTAAAATTGATTTTTTTCATATAATTATTCTTTATATCAATATAGATGTTTCTTGATTATTGTTTTATTTAATATTAAGATTTCATTATCAGGAAACCAAAAGAAAGAAATAGAGAGAGAAAAAAAAATGATAAAAGATAAGAAAGTGAGTAAATGTGTTTATAACCTTTTATCTCCCTACCTCTCATCTCTCTCTCTCTCTCTCTCTCTCTCCCTCTCTCTCTCTCTCTCCCTCTCTCTC